ATAAACAGCTGGTGGTGCTAATTCTCCAGTTTGGTGCAGTGAGATGATGTGTACAGTCAAACCTTAAACTATCAAAATCAAAAACAATGAGGAAAACATAATGAAAAACTATAATTTATCTTGGTCTGATGTATTAATTTGGGGAATGTTGCAGTCCTGATTGCTCCACACAGATCTGATGTCTTCAGTGGATGTTTAGTTAAGTGTAAAAACGTTATTACTTTTTAAGACAAACTGAATATGCCTTACAAATTGGTAGATGGAAATGCAGTTAGTGTTTCCATGTCGAGCTGGAGTGAAGCCATGGTAACAAAACTGTCCAACTCAGACTGCTGAAGCATCATTTCAGATTTGGTTGAACTTTAGGAGGCATTTTCAGACAGAATGAGGCTTTAGTCCACAATCACTTATTGCATTAGGAAGAGGTTTCACAGAATGGAAAGAAGAAACCATTACACCAATATAGCCATGTACGAATTATTATGAGACAAATGTGAACCCATCCTTGACTAACATGTGATGGCACATATTATACTAAAATAAAATCTCCTAATCTCCCTAGGAGCCCTTGACGTGAAGAAGCTGGTGTGCCACTGTCACAGTAGAAGACACTTCGACTTGACCTGACCCTGCGTTTTCCAACCTGTTTTAGGACACACAGATGCTGGCTGCTGCCCAGTCGCCGCCTCCTCCTCCTCCTCCTCCTCAGCAGCGCTACAGTCCCGCCCACCGCCACCTGGCTCAGCTGCGCACCGCCGACTGGAGGCAGAGCGCCGCTACTCCTCTTCCCCACGCCAACAAGGAGAAGCAGAAAACAAGCAGCCCGAGGGTGTGTGCATGAATTCTCATATTTAAAAAAAAAAAAAAGAAGAAAAAAACGATTTCTATGATCTAGACCGAGTCGACGTTTAAAGGATTTTTGAAGGAAAGTGCGAAAGACAGGCAGGAAATTAGACGGGTGCCCCGCGCACTACTGCATCCTCCCTCTCCATCTCTGTCTCATCTCTCCTCCTTCTCTGCCTCTGCGCTTTTCCAAGACTCCCATCCCGACTATCCCCAGTGACTGATCACTTATTGCGAGTCGTGAGCTGCCCTTTTCTTTTGTCGGAGTTTGAACCACATTTCCGATCTGCTGGAAGTATACCGCCAGAGCCTCTGAAAGCTGGCTGGACTCTGTAGCTTTCGCCTTCCCGATACAAGCGGATCATCGAGGGGACCTTGCGCGGAGTCAAAAGGACTGGAAATTATTTAGCCCTCTCACATCAACGTACCGCATGGTGGGAATTTCTGCCTCGTTTCAGTGTAAGTGGACTCTCTCTTTTGCTATAGCGATTATATTTTCCCATTCACACCTTGGCTTGGACTGTTCTGTGGCCTCATATTTTCATGTGGGCGCCAAAGAGAAATTTTAATGAAATAGCTGCTGACCCTCTGTAGAATTTGACATGTGTGCTTTGTTTCATGTATTTTAATGTAAAGTAAGCAGAAGGTATGGTGATCCAGAATTATAGTTGTGGTTGCGATTTGTATAAAAACACAACACGTATAGCCAACATTTAGGTACATTATTTCTTGAAATATTTATTATTTTATATTCATATGTTTTATTACCTGAGAACAATGCGTGTCTGCGCTGTGCGTAATATGGTTACAAACACATTTATTTCTAATGGAAGGTATGGCTGAGCAGCAGAACATTGATTTTTCTTATTATTTTTAATGAAATTACTTAAAGGAACTGAAGTTGAAGATCGGCTATATATCCAAACATTATGCAACTGACACGCACTTTCTTAAAATTAAGAATATCTAAATGTCCTACCAAAGCCGTTATAGACACTTGATTGTGTCTTAAGGACTGGGCTTTGAAAGGAACAACCAGTAGCCTAATTGATTCCATTTTGTGTTATCAGAAGAACAATTGCTTTCCATAAATGACTGGTTCAGTTTGTTTAAATAGTGACACCAACTTGCAGCTGTCTCCATAAAAAGCACACATCATTTCTTGAGCCCAGGATGGAGAGTTGTTCTCGGGCAACAGGCAACTTAACGGATCAAGTTTGGTGACTCTCTTTCGATCTGTCAAGACCGCTTATGTAGAAGTGAAGCAACCTTCACATCAGCTGATAAACCCCCAGAAAGCAACACTCAGACTTAGTTTATCAGGTTAATAGCGGGGCGAGTATCGTCACTCCTCCCCAGCACGGTACAGACAGAAATGTGTATGGAGTGCTGAGAGCATGCAGGTTTTTAAATAAAAACAATTGAATTAGAAACACCCTTCTCACGGAATAAACAGCATATTCCTGATATTTGATGACAACTGTTCTTTCCATTTAATATTTTGTCATTAATCATTCTGTTCCAATAAATTGTGGCTGCTGATGTTTCGGTGGAAATATTTCTATTATTTTATTTTGATGCATTGATATTGCCATCCCTCCGTGTTCAGTGCAGAGCCTCCCCTGCCTCTCCCTCTCTCCTCTCTTCTAGATCGACTTTGCATTTCAGAGTTTGCATTTGAAAACATCCTCTGGAGCTCTGTCACAACTGTCAAACGCATCTTCGCATACATGTGAAGTTTCCACCTTCACCCGCTGCGACTTTGTCATCATCATATAAGCGAAAAGCTTTTTTGTTTTTTTTTTAATGGAGAGGCGTAGGATTGAAATTAAAGGGTTTAGGCTATATTTTACTCCAGTGGGAGACTGGGAAAAGAGCAGACATGCGGGTTAGGGAGGGAGGCTGCTGGGGCACAACCTGCTGCCGATGCCCGACTTGTTCTCACGGCTCGGATTAGAGAGGGAGGAAAATATCTCCTGGAAGCCCACAGGGCTGTGGACATTTTTTTTACGCATGCGAAAAAAGTCCCCTGCAAATCTTTGTAAGCATCCAAGAGGGTGATTGTTAACTCCTCACTCTAAGGCGTGATCCGCTACAGATGTAGTCTTTGCCGAATTAAATAGGTAAACAAGGAGAATTGTTTATGAGCATTTTGCATGGATATAAGAGTCTCAATTATTTTAAAATGAGAAAATTATTTACTTTACTGCAGTGGTCAAAATTGGTTGTCCCTGGCCTTCATTAATTGTCATCAGTTGTTTTCTCCTATTCTTGAACCACTGGGACTTCCATTAAAGTAGTGACTTGACTGAAAAGACCATTACCTGGAGTGTGTGTGTTTGCAGAGATAAAGAGAGAGAGAAACACAGAGAGAGACACACAGGGAGAGAAGGAGTAAATGAAAGGTAAACAAAGCTGGTGATGAGGGGAGAGTAAATGATAAGTGCTGTTTGCAGGTTATCACTATGTTTGTGTGTGCATGTGGTTGCACGTGTGTGTGTTTGAGTGTGTGTTGTTGCGTCTGTGCACACTGTATAAACAGGCTTGTATTAACGTTGGCTGCTAACTCTCTGTGGTCCAGGCACTGCAGCATCAGCTAGCTCTTCCAGGGGCCATCTGCCCAGCCACCAGCCTGCCTCACACCTGTTCTCCCTCCCTCCCTTCCTCCCTCCCTCCACCTCCTCCCTCCCTCTCCTCCCCCCCAGCTCTCAGGCTATAGGGTCAAACGCATCAGACCGCTGCTCACAGACACGGACGTGGCCTTGCAAAAATGATGGCAACCATTTTATTCTCGCTTTCACACACACACACACACACACAAGCACAGAAACACACACACACCAGAAACACTCACATACCCCAGTTGGTAGGTTGAGAGAGTGATGCTGCATGTATCTTCTGCACAGTGACAAAATGTGGCAAGCAGATGACGCACAGGCACACTCACTTTAACATGATTATTTGCATTTTTCTTCCTTTAGTGCTTTTTGATGCTAACCACAGATAATAGTTCTCTATTGCATTCAAAACAGAGCCATTAGACCACAGCCTCAAACAATGAATTTACTATTATGTCAAAGGTAAAAAACAAAACAAAACATTGATTTCCTCTTTAGCACAGAGTCATATTGAGGCTCCAGTGCTGTGATGTAATTACAAAGCAATTCTTTTAAGTATGACACACAGATGTTTGGATGCAGTCCAGTTTTGCTTTACAGTGAATAAGTGATGATGACTCAACAGAGTTCATATGCCGGCTACATCATCTCTTGTGTGTTTCTGTATCAGCTGTAAGGCTCGGCTTTCTCATAGATACACATTGATTCACCACAAGGCAAAGGCTTGCTGTTGGATGATGCAGCAGTAACATTTTATGATGCCCAGAAAGATTGAATCAGCTGTATTGTTTTATTTGGTTTTAACTGAGCCAATTTACTGGCACAAAGCTATCAGTTAGATCATCTATCCTTTATTTGGCAAGTTGGTTTTGTCTTTTTGATTCTGGTATGCAGAACACAAGCTACTTAATTTATGGGCTGGCTATGTTACATGCTGTATAGAGTGGGTCAGCTTTTGATGGTTGTTGTATAATTCCGTGCTTTGAATAAGTGAACTGCATTGTCAATCTGAAATGTTTGTTGCTATCTCAATCAAGGAAAAACTGGAAAAAACGCCCAGTATTCATCATTCTTTTGATTTACTGACCTCAGTAACTGCAATTGCGTAAATGTGTGCAACGATAGAAAAAGTGGTAGTGTACTGAAATAGGTACAGGTTGCATTTGAAGTCATGCAGTCAGGGGGCAAATGTCAACAGTAGAATTGGATAATAAAACCACTGTTCCGTGTACTCCTTCAAGATGTATAGATCTGTTCTGATTATTCAGAGCTGTCTCTTACCAAGTCCCAGAGTGAATTATAGATGGAATTACGGTGTGTGTGTGTGTGTGTGTGTGTGTGTGCTTGTGTGTGTGTGCAGGCACCTACATACACACACATGCCCTTGTAGATCGATAGGCCCATTGATGGTTATCAGCGAGAGGGCAGTTCTCTTCACTGCTTATTGAATTTCATCACCCATGAAAGAGCAGCAGTGGTATAAAAGGACTTGCCTGTGTTTGTGTTTGTGTGTGTGTGTGTGTATGTGTGTATGGCACTCACAAAAGCAAGAGGTCTTTGTTTTATTGTAGTTGTGAGTTGGCCTTTACAGCAGCTTATTTAATGTCAAAGTCAACAGTGAGCACTACAAACTGATTTTATTGGCCTTGTTCGTGTTTTTACTCCAGATAACATGAGACTTATAGGGCAAGTGAAGACGAGGCCAACAGGGTAGAGTCTGACAATTTGTCAAGTTTCATAGAGGCAGTGAATTCTTCATAGGTTTTTACAGTTGGAGCCATTTAGGAAACAAATGGGAAATCATATTTATAATAGCTTGGTTACTATATATGATAATATAAATTCTTGTTCTTGTTCTTGTTCTTGTTCTCCTTCTTCTTAACTGTTGCAAAAGCATTAACATAGAGGCAGCTGTACTATCAGTGTTGTTAAAGACGGACAGCTGGGAAATGTAGTTTGTAGTTGTTTAGGTAGACGGCTCACTGTATCTACATCATAGTTCCTGGACTAAAACACACTGATAGACATGTGCAGGACAACATTAACACACACACTGCTCTCTCAGTCCTCTGTATATAGACTGGGATTGAGTTGCTAATTAACTTCACTTTCTCAAACTGTATCGCACACAGGCAGACTGCCACACACACACACACATGCACACATACAGAATCTCTCTCGCTTAGGCTCCTTCTCATGAAGTCTTTCCCCTCGCTCTGTCTCACTCTCTCTCTCCCACTGTTTATTTTCCTGCCTCCATCTGGAGTCGGCTGATATTGTAATCGCCCTAATGCACATTGCCTTCCCCTCGCACACACGCACACACAAACACACATACA